TTTGTGGTTATTCTTGAGATTTTTTTTCCCCCTCTAACACTATACAGTGTTTGCCAGGCAGGGGAGGATGGTGACCAGTTTGTATTAAAAAGAAAAGAAAAGAAAAGAAAAGGCACACAACTCTGCTGCTGTTACCTTTCCCAAAGTATACATATTCTGATAAAATTGGTGTTGTCTCCATATAAAAAGTATTACGAACCTCCTGCCAGCTTGCTTTGGGCACTATTCTGGGTAGAATAGACAGGCACAGACGTATAGACAGACTGAATCTCTTTCTCTGATTTAATTTTGCATTACAGGTAGATGTCATATGTAATGTGTAAGAGCCATGCTCAATGCAGTTTTTGATTTTGTGTTCTGATGTGATCTGGCTATTTCGAAGCACTTACAATGCAGACATACTGTATGAAAGTTCTCATGATTTCGGAGGACACTCATAGTAAGGACAAGGAAATTTCTTTCACGTTGAAGTTCTAAAAACTAACTTTCTCAGTAATAAGACTTGAGCAAAAACAAATTAAGACTAAGGAAAAGATGATAATTTGCCAATACTTGCAAATGGGAGCCTCTACTCCACATGTTTGTAAAATGTTTTACCTTATCTTGCATTCCTGGCATTAGGAGTCATTTTGGTTTGGGGCCATTTTTTTGTTTGTTTGTTTGTTTGTTTTGAGACGGAGTCTCGCTCGGTCCTCCAGGCTAGAGTGCAGGGGCGCGATCTCGGCTCACTGCAAGCTCCGCCTCCCGGGATCATGCCATTCTCCTGCCTCAGCCTCCTGAGTAGCTGGGACTACAGGCGCCACCACCACGCCCGGCTAATATTTTTTGTATTTTTAGTAGAGACGAGGTTTCACCGTGGTCTCGATCTCCTGACCTTGTGATCCGCCCGCCTCGGCCTCCCAAAGTGCTGGGATTACATGGGGCCATTTTTTAAAGCTGATTTTTGATGAATGTATGAAACTATTTTCCAGTGATTCTGCTTTATTTTGGGGAAGTGGGAACAAAGACCCGGCATGCTACCATGGGTATAACTGTACAAATTTCAATGCTGTTTGAAGAAATAGACATCTAAATGAAGAAATACTTTTAATTGTTGACTGTAAAACGTGCCAAATTATGCTGATGATTCTGTTACCTAAAATAACTAGACCATTTTTCTTTAGAGCAAAACTGACAACACTATAAATCTCTGATGTGTATTGTTTTAAGTTTTCCTGAAAGGTAAAACTTATTTTTTTATTTTTCGTTTTTACTGTCTCAGCTTTTCTATTACATTTGTGTGTGTAGGGGGAGCTGGGTACAAAGAGAAAGAGAAAGCATAGTGAAGATGACTCAGAACAAAATGGGTGGCGTTTGTAAGAGACAGAGAATTGCCTTTGAAGATTGTTGGCGTGTTTATTTATGCTAACTCCCACTATCTGAAAAAATAGCTGTAGCAGGCTCATTACTCTGTGGAAAAATAAAATTCATTTGACAGGATTAATTCATTTGAAACCCATGTGGTTTTCAAGGTTCTTTAAAATAACGTGAGATATTACAGCAATCCTTACTTTAACGTTTTGATCTAAGTGAGGCATGAAACAATTTAAATGCACCCAGAATATAAACTTTTAAGTGTTACCAGAAAGTGTCTTTTCTTGACAATACTGGAACATTTTGGATGTTATGAACAGGTGCATAATTATAGATTTGTGTTTTCAAACACTATTTGTACAGAGTAGAATCCATGTGAGAACTGATTTTAAGAAATGAGCGGTGCTTCGTAATTTCCAGAAATGGAGAGGAATTACAGTATGCAAAACTAATGACGATAGCTCACTTACTTTAAGTTCTTTTTATGTTCTTGACACTGGGATAAGCTCTCTACATATATTATTTCATTTGTTCATAACAACCCTATGAGAAGGGTATAATTATTATCCAATATTTTTGGGGGAAGGAAACTAAAGATTATAAAAGTTAACAGTTAGTAGGTAGTGAAGCCAGTATTTTTGCTTAGGTGGTCTGTGTATAGAATCCATGCTCTTAACTATTAGGATATGCTGATTCTAAAGCAATTAATGAATATTGGTCTGAAATCAGTCTAATGGCATGCTGGAAACAGCTCTTACAAACTGCCAAGAGTTGATTGTTAGATATTTTGGATTTTTGTAAGCCAATTTGTAAACTTTGCTACTTTGAAATCAGCAATGATTGGAGTATTTACACCACAGAAATGGTCAAATGCGACAAATCAAGGCACTGTTTTTCAAGTCAGTTCACCAGCACACCATTTAATAACATAGTGCCCTTTCAGCAGTGCCAGAGTATAAACCCTCACATTTTAAATGGATATAAATGAAATAAATGCTTACATTAACAGTTTTATTTTACATTAGCATTTGTCTTGATCTCAAGAGGAGAGACTATAATTAGTACGGTTAGAACTTTAAAAATTAAATTTAAGAGCATGTATTCCTAAATTCCACAGTAGAAGAGAGTCCTTTTCCTAGCCTTTGAACTTTTATATGGGGATTTTAGAAAGAAAGCCCTTGTCTGACCAGCTGCAGAGTGTAAAAGCAGTTAGTTAGCCTTGCCACATTTGAGAGGACTCTTTGCTGGCTGAGATTGTCTGAGCAGGAATGGAAAGTGATTGGGTTGGGTAAACAGGAGCCCATGATAGGAGGATGGCAGAAGCCAGAAAAGGAAATTTTATTAAAAAAAAAAAAAACCAACCAACCAACCAAACAAACAAACAAAACAGAACAACACTTGGGAACCAGTGGGGTTTGTGGGGTCTGAGTAAGCTTTGTGGCCTTATTGTGGGCATCATTTATCCATAAAATAATTTTAACTTTAATTTTAGAACTCTAGTACTTCATTTTTCCTTGTAACCATAAAGCAGCATTTTATGCTGTGATGGAAAATCATTCCAGTGGCAGTGGTTCCATTTAATACAAATTTCAAACAGTGTCAATTGTAATTTTGATGCATTGCATCAGCTTGTCAAATTGATCCTCCCAATGTTCTTTTTATGAAGAAGGCATAACTTGCTTACACGTTATGTTTAATATACTTGTAATGTTCTTCTGACATAAAGATCCTCCATTGAACAATTTGCTTGTGCCTGGTTGGACTGCATACTGGAGCCCGCTTATCTAAGCAAAAGCATACATGCTTAATAACTTAAACGGTTCTCTCTAAGCCACCAACCAGTTCTTTTTCATTATTTATTATTATTTATTGGAAAACATTTCCATAAATTGAACCACAAGAAAGAAATGCACTCACAATTTAACCACCCCAACTGAATTTTCTTCCCTTTTTTCGATGTAATTTTTATTTTTTGAGAACAGGGTCTTGCTCTGTCACTCAGGTTTGCGTACAGTGGTGTGACCATGGCTTTCGGCAGCCTCAGACTCCTGGGCCCAAGCATATTCCTCTTGCCTCAGCCCTCTGAATAGTTGGGACTACAGCCATGTGCCTTTTTTTTTTCTATTTAAAAAAAATTAAGTCCTGGCACGGTGACTCATGCCTGTAATCCCAGCACCTTGGGAGGCCAAGGCGGGAGGATCATGAGGTCAAGAGATGGAGATCATCCTGGCTAACATGGTGAAATCCCGTCTCTACTAAAAATACAAAAATTAGCTGGGCGTGGTGGTGGGTGCCTGTAGTCCCAGCTACTTGGGAGACTGAGGCAGAAGAATTGCTTGACTCCAGGAGGTGGAGGTTGCAGTGAGCCGAGATCGCGCTATTGCACTCCAGCCTGGGCAACATAGTGAGACTCCATCTCAAAAAAAAAAAAAATTTATATAGATTAATATATGGGAAATACAAGTATAGCTCTCCTACATGCATATATTGTGTAGTGGTAAGTCTGGGCTTTTAGCGCACCCATCACCTGAATTGTGAACAGCCAGTCAGTTCTTATCCTCGTTCCTTCACCTCCTGAGTTGAGATTTTGAGAATTTGTGCTGTATTGATTGAGATAGAAGTTTAAGAGAAAGAGAAAAGAAAACGAATGGAGGATGAAAAAATAAAGCAAAATACATACACACAGAACAGGACCAAGTTACAGGCAAAATATAGCATCCAAGTTGAATAAAACAAAGTAATCGCTGTCTTGTGGATAAGGAGAAACCTGTGTCTGTGAATATTTTATACTAATTCAGTTTTATATTTGCTTATCTTTAATATTAATTTGAGAAAAGTGCTATTTTTCTGTTCTTTAATTTTTTTTATCAGCAGACTGAATGGTAAGTTAGAAATGAATGCATAAGAATCAGAGAAATCTGGATTTTAATCCTTAGCGTGAAAATTTTATAACTCTGTGACTTTGGAAAAGGAACCTAACTTCTCTGTTTATCCTGTTCACACAAGACATAGTAACAGTCCTTACTATAGACGACCGCAGGAGTTATAGATAAAGCTCCCGGGGCAATGCATATCAGAGTAAGCTGTGTCTCCTTACATTTTCAGAGCTGTTATTGTTGCTCAGCAAATGGCAGCTGTTGCTATCTGTGGTTTTTTTGTTGTTGTTGTTGTTTTTTGAGACGGAGTCTCGCTCTGTCGCCAGGTCTGGGGGGCAGTGGTGTGATCTCAGCTCACTGCAGCCTCTGCCTCCTGGGTTCAAACTGTTCTCCAGCCTCAGCCTCCTGAGTAGCTGGGATTACAGGCTTGTGCCACTGCGTCCAGCTAATTTTTGTATTTTTAGTAGAGATGGAGTTTCACCATGTTGGTCAGGCTGATCTCGAACTCCTGACGTCAGGTGATCCACCCACCTTGGCCTCCCAGAGTGCTGGGATTACAGGCGTGAGCCACTGTGCCTGGCCGCCATCTGTGGTTTTTAAAATGTATTAAACGTGAGGAGTAATGACAGTGTTTCTTGATGACTGGGGAACTTGCAGTAGAAAGTTGACAAATACTCTTTCTACGAAAGAAACTGGAGCCTCCTAAGGTAAGCTGGGTCTGGATGCTTGATGAAGATGACACTGCTGACGGCTCTTCCTCTTTCTGTGCAGAATGTGCCCCCAGACCTCTCCATCTGCACCTTTGTGCTGGAGCAGTCCCTCTCTGTCCGGGCCCTGCAGGAGATGCTGGCTAACACCGTGGAGAAATCAGAAGGGGCAAGTACCCAATTTATGTAGACTTGTAGTATTTTAATGAGCTCAGCTACTATACGAACAATTTCTTTCACAGGTGTCAGAGAGTTTCTTTTTGCTGAAATAAGTCGATGCCTGTCAGTTGGAATTTCCTTAGGATTGACTTTCTGCTTTATCCAGCATATTTGTGGTGTCTTGAAAACTAAAAAAAAAAAAAAAAAAAATTCAAGCTTGATGTGATCTGTGTCACTAAGACCTCGTGCTTATGTCTGTGGTTTAAAACCAACCTTTCTTTGAGCATTTCTATGTTTTCTTCCATTTTCAGAGCTGTTATTGTTATTATTTTAACTCATCGCTTTATGCATGGCTATTTGTCATTAACCTTTATTTCATTTTCAAATGTCTCTCACTATGTGACTATGTTCTGAGCTTTTTCATGGAAAGTAAAATTTCATGGCACTGTTATATATTTTAAGTAACCAAATTTTGGTGATATGGCTTTAGTCTATTGTAATTTTAAAAACAGCTAATCCTTTTCCTCTGAAAATTGATTTTTTTTTCTTTTCTGAGATGGAGTCTTGCTCTCTTGCCCAGGCTGGAGTGCAGTGGTGCAATCTCGGCTCACTGCAAGCTCTGCCTCCTGGGTTCATGCCATTCTCCTGCCTCAGCCTCCCGAGTAGCTGGGACTACAGGCGCCTGCCACCACACCCGGCTAATTTTTTGTATTTTTAGTAGAGACAGGGTTTCACCGTGTTAGCCAGGATGGTCTTGATCTCCTGACCTCGTGATCCACCTACCTCGGCCTCCCAAAGTGCTGGGATTACAGGTGTGAGCCACCGCGCCCGGCCCTGAAATTGTTATGTGGTTTCCTAATGCAAGTATTTTTCTTTCAAAGCCTATTTGGTTATTTTATTTTCAATGAGACTTGCTGTGACGGATATCTGGGCTGTTACCCAGTCTTGACCAATTTATTACAGTTTAGAATTAAGCAGGAGGATTAATGGTCAAATTTTTGTTTCCAGGTTTTTTAAATTTTTATTTTTTGATATTGTAATTACTGCAGTGCATTGTTTAATAAAGTATAGTATTTCCAGAGATAAAACTGAAAATTTTATTTTGCCATTATTGATCTATATGTTGCTGTTGTTAATCATTACTCTGGTCTGGATGAGTAAAAAGATTAAAAAATGGTAATACATAAATGATTATCCATAGAAATGAGTCATCAGTTATAACCTTATTTTCATCAACCTTGTAGTTTTTAAAATTTTAGTGTCATGCAGCTTAGGACTTTACTTGATTTGTGCATTAGTTCTAAATTAAATTTTAGCAGTATACTATTATGTGGGGAAGAGAAACTTTAGTGATTTTTATTTGGAATTAGACTAAAAGCTTATTTTACAAAAGCTTGGTATTTTAGTTTTTCGGGTTCAATTTTTGCTTATAGCAAAGTTTGAAATTATTAAAATATATAAAGTTTCTTTTAAAAATTTTTATCCTTTCATGTAAACCTTTTCAGGTACACTTAAATTATGAAAGAAAACAATTCTCAATTTAGTTTCATTTCTACCTGAAATAACCCCTCCTGATTTTTAAACATCCCTGAGTCATATCAACTTTGATATGCAAATGAGCCTTTATAAAGAAAGATCGTTTTTATTTGGCATTAGCATTTAGAAAAATGCATCTTGCCATTTCATCTGTCTTTATAGATAACAACTTAGAACTAACATGCCATAAATTTAATTTTTATATTGCTAAGTTGTGTTTTTTAAATTTAACAACTTTGAGAAGATCTTTTGTCTTCTTCAAATCATGACGTTGGGCTAGGCAAACTCTAAAGTTTCTTGGAATACAGGAAGTAATTTGAAATACTGTTTTAGGATTTATGGTTTTTCTTGAGATGGGGTCTTGCTGTATTGCCCAGGTTGGTCTTGAGCTCCTGAGCTCAAGCAATCCTCCTGCCTCAGTCTCTGGAATATCTAGGATTACAGGTGCATCCCACTGTACCCAGCTTCTAGGATTTATGTTTTCAAGACATTTATTAGTTAGAATTTCTGGATCTCTTCAAATATTTTTATTTAGCTGAATTTAGTTTTGAATTGTTCACTCTCTAGAATGTCTCTATCACAGATAAAGTAGTAATTTGTGTGATGTGTTGACCACTATTTTATAAAGCACAGTATAGTTACCATAAGACACGAATTAGGGGCCGGGCGCTGTGGCTCACGCCTGTAATCCCAGAACTTTGGGAGGTGGAGGCGGGCGGATCACGAGGTCAGGAGATCGAGACCCTCCTAGCTAACATGGTGAAACCCAGTCTCTACTAAAAATACAAAAAATTAGCCAGGCGCGGTGGCAGGTGCCTGTAGTCCCAGCTACTCGGGAAGCTGAGGCAGGAGAATCACTTGAACCAGGAGGCGGAGCTTGCAGTGAGCCGAGATAGCGCCACTGCACTCCAGCCTGGGCGACAGAGTGAGACTCTGTCTCATTAAAAAAAAAATAAATAAATAAAAAATAAAAAAAGACATGAATTAGGAAGTTTAATTTGAGAAAAAACTGCTACAAGGAAGAAACACTTTGCATGAAGCTGAAACCTATTTCTGGTTACTAGTAAGTTTTAGAAAGAAATCAGTGTCAAATAGCTCAACAGGTTACTGTATGTTAGGGAAAGATGAAAGTTTCTGTCATACTGCTGAGTATTTTTGATTACACCCAGAAATGATACTCATTCCTAGCTTGCCACAGGTGATGCCGGTTAACTAGCACAGCCCCAGCCACAGCGTTGGAGGAAGGGTTCTGGAGGTCTCTATTGTATTTATGGATTTGGAGGTAGCCTGAGCAATGGGGGGTATCCTGGAGGACCCCTGGGGTGGTCAGGGTTAGGGAGCACTGTGGGGCCTTGGGGCAGCAACTGTTTACCAAGAAGGATAGATATTCTCCACTTAACCATTTTATTCATACGAGTGCACACCAGCTAAATATCATGTCTGATGATATGTGATCCATGGATATGTGGCCAATGGATGCTGCTGGCACTTGTAGGAACCAAGTCTTCTGTACTCCAAATATCATCTTTTCTAGTGCCTGATAATGTCTCCTTTATGCTCATTATGGAACTCTAATGGGGAATCCTGTTATCAGTCAAATTACTGTATCCAGGTTAATAAATCATATGCAGTTTGCTTAAACGAAGAGCCACTTTTTCTAGGATGAAGTGTGCCAGGAAGGTAATGCGAATTTTCATGAAATCATTTATTTCCTTTCAGATGAACAGTGAATCAAAAAGAACCTTGTGTTCCCTGATTCCCAACTCCTTCAAAGTCAACTTTCTTTACAAAGCCTTGTTCTTTTTTCCCTGATTCCCAACTCTTTCAAAGTCAACTTTCTTTACAAAGCCTTGTTCTTTTTTATTTAATAATTCTTTAATTTCTTATGTAATTCAGTAAATAATACTTATACCGTTTCATGTCTAAAATGTTATCATATGCACATAGCAATACAAACACACTTGATGATAAGGAAAAATTTTCCATTTAGTATCATGGCTTTGTTTTCTGTGGTTAAGGACCATTTTGCTAGTATTCTTGGATCACCAATAAATACGTGGTTTTCATAAAATGGTTAAGGAAACTTAGCAGAAAACTCCCAATGTCATTTGTGACAAAGTAAATCATGAACATTATGATAACAGAAGAAGAGGTGTGTAAGATGAAATGGGAGAAAATATTACCTAATCTACAAAGTTTTGGTTCCCTAAAAAGTTGCTTATTGTGACTATTAGTAAAATAACTCATATTTTTGTGGCATCAAAATCATTCTGAAGGATTTCATCTAAGTGGATTTTCTTAAAATGTCTGTTTAATTAAAAAAAGTACATAGATATATATTAAAAGAGAGACCTAGATCCAATATCTATATAATTACATTGACTATCATTTAGCTTTTATTCTTATTAAAATCATGTCAATGGTAAATAGGCCAAGACCTGTTTATGTCAGTAGTTGCCCACAGAACCTTTCAGATCTTGAGGATGGAGACAGTACACAGGCAATGGGAAGGAGAAGGTGTCTGTTGAGCAGCACCTGTCTCTTTGGCCCTGTTTTCTCTGGGCATCTGCCTATGCACATTCTTGCTTCTGCTGTTCTTTCTGTTTCCCCCACTGGGTTTACTGTGGTTCTGGATAATGTCACTTGCAAGTCTAGCTCTGTATTGCTCTTCTTGCTCTCCAGATCTGCTTTGCGTATGGATGATATAGCTTAGGGTTAAAAACGGGCTTTGTTGTCGTAGAGAACTGCTTGAGAATACCAGTTCTGCCATAGTTAGCTCTGTGGCTTTGGGAAGGATAACTTTATCATCAAGGCTTAGTAATGATTAAATGATGGTACATGTTGTTATTGTTTTACTTATTCTTTTTTGTATACTTTTAAACTCCCTGGGTTGGACTGTTGCTAATTCCTGACTGCCTTTTCTCTGGCCTTGATGGCTTTCTTCCTTCTCTGGGACATAGCCAGTCCAAAATCCCCACTTCCTCCCCTCGACCCCAGTATCCTAACCAATTCTGGCACATGTAGTTTGCCAATTTAATGATGCCACGACAGTGTTAGAATAGAGAGTTGATGATAGCATTTGCTTATTTCCATGTGTTTTGTAGTTAATAAAGTTTCATAATTTAGGTGATATTGTGCTTTTGGCTGTTCCTTTTATCTAATTCACAGAATTATGATAGACACTTTTCTCTCATACAATTTTATTTGTCATGCCTAATTTAATTTAAGGATTTTATCTCATATGAGCACAGATACCAAGTTAGAGGTGACATAGTATAGTAGAAAGGGCTTTGGTTTTGGAGTCCAGGAAATTTACTGAAAATTCTTCTTCAAGTAATATTTATAATAATTACCATCTGTTGAAAAGGCATTGCTTTGGTTTAATGCCATGAGTCCAATATATGGCTTGTATGTTCTGTTTAGGACGGCATATTTTAAAATACACATTGAGTATCTTTTCTGCCTTTCAGTTTA